TTCCAGTGAAATATATTTATGTTTGTGGTTGTAATGTGACAAAATATGGAAAAGTTCAAGGGGTATGAATACTTTTGCAAACCACTGTATCTGAGGGGCTCCTATCTAATCCTAATCCTACATCAGGGATTATTTAACTGGATTTAAGGAGTCAAATACAACAGCTAACATTTTTAATATAGTTTCTGTTTAAACAATTATGGAAATTGTTGAAAGTTTGACACAGTTAAAAGCCTCTGAGTGTGTATGATGCTGAGTGAAACAGATTATTGTGATTTACTATTTGTGTAACATGAAATTACATTTTGTTGTTTCAAGATGTTTTCAAAGAAAAAAAATCTGGTGTGAAAATACTTTGATTTGAGATCAATTTATTGAACTTGAGTTAATTTAACTGCAAGTTCAACCGACTTGTCAACCATTTGTGTAAATAACCTCCGTGCTGATTTTGGTGATACAACTTTTATACAGATTGTTGCAAGTTTCTTTTACAAACTGTGTTTAATGTAGCAGGTTGTGTTGTTTGGTTTGTGTAACCTGGGTTTGTGTAACCTGGGTCTACTTTGTGAAGGTCCAATGGTTCTGAGCTGGTTCTCAATGAAGTACTGTAGTGTTTATCTCAGCTATTGTGCTTCTGTCACTGTGTGTGTCTGTGTGTGTGTGTGTGTCTGTGTGTGTCAGCACACCTGGCCAATGAAGCTGATTGTGTTGTGTTGTTGCACCTCTAACATACAGTGTATAAACCAGTGTAACACTGAGGAGACAACAGTTAGGGTTAGATAGTTGTTCTTTCACAAGGTTCTCTGCTTTTAGCAAAGAACATGAAAACACATTAAAAGTTATTGTCAGCCTCATCATTACAGCTGGGTTTAAACTAAATGAGCACATTTTACTAAAAGCAGGAGGTAGACAACCTTATCAGAACCTGTCAAAGCCACATATAAACCCAGTTAAACAGGGTCACACTGCAGCAGAACTGGCTGCAGTGTGAAGGACTCACAAGCATTTATTGGTGACAGAAAGCACCACACAGTCCACGGCCTTCTTGTCCTCCTGAACTTGTTTGTAGAACTTCTGATACAGAGACTTACGTCTGTCTGCTGGAGTGACTGCCTCTGGTTTCACTAAACTGTTGACTTTCACAAGAAATGTGGAGGAAAAACGTGAGATGAACAGTGCAAACTTCAGAAGAAGGTAAAGATTAGTTTAGTAAACATTCGATTAGATTAAAGACAAAGAATGAACCTTACCGTTTGACTGATTATATGTCTCCAACTTCACAGCAGCAGAATAATTCTGAAGCTGTTCCAGTTCTTCATAACTGAAACAGATAAACAGAGACATGTGTCCAAGTTTTGTTTTCTGAGTCATGATCACATGACTGATGAGTTCATGAAAACTTCAGCAGAACTTTGTCATTTTACATTTCTGTGCCCAGACTTGACAACTACTGTATTTTTCAGACTATAAACCGTGACTTTTTTCCTGAACTTTGAACCATTATACCTTATAGTCCGGTGCAGCTTATACATGGATTTATTTCTTCAGCCACCAGGGGGCTCTTATGCTGCATTTGCTTCAACCACTCGCTTCAAAAAAGAAGAAAAACGTGATCCTTCCAGAGCCGACTGTTGACCAGGAAGCAGCGATTTAAAGATAGTCAGCGGCCAAAAACTCATTAAAGGTGATAAAACAGACATTTTTCACGGTGGAATCTGACTGATAAAAACTTTGGAGCTTAATCCAGGACCAGTTTGTGGATAAAAGTCGAGTGAAGAGCTGCTGACTTTTTTTTCCTCGTTGCACTCCCCGGGGAAGGAATCCCATGCAGTGACGTAAGCTGGAGCAGGAGGGCTTTCCCAGCAGCTGAGTGACGATAAATCATTCACAAAAACTGGACGAATGTGAAGAGCGTCATTTCCTGATGTCTGCCAGTGGATCCTAACAGTGTGGAGC